GATAGATGTTGGATAAGGAAGGAGGAGAGATGAGGATGATAGATGTTGGATAAGGAAGGAGGAGAGATGAGGATGATAGATGTTGGATAAGGAAGGAGGAGAGATGAGGATGATAGATGTTTGATAAGGAAGGAGGAGAGATGAGGATGATAGATGTTTGATAAGGAAGGAGGAGAGATAAGGATGACAAATGTCTGATGGGAAAGAATGGGGAGAGATTAGGACAATAGATGTTTGATAGGGAAGAAGGAGCTTAAACCACATCAGAGCACCCGCACGCCACCCACCTTTATTGATTCCTACAATGGCAAACATAATATAATATAATATATATATTATATACATAAATAAAACACATAATTTGACACACACAAGACACCCATACAACAACTGCGGTCTACTGCTTTGACAAGTCACGACAGACAGAAACAACACAGCTTGTCTTACCTCATGCAGACACGGGGAAGGTGAGAGTCGTTATGGAGAGAAGGTGAAAGTTGTTACGGAGATGGTGAGAGTCGTTACAGAGAAGGTGAGTCATTACAGAGAAGGTGAGAGTCGTTACAGAGAAGGTGAGAGTCGTTACAGAGAAGGTGAGAGTTGTTACGGACAAGGTGAGAATCGTTACGGAGGAGGTGAGAGTCGTTGACTAAGAGAGGAACTTACAAAGCAAAAAAAAAAAAAAAAAGAGATAAGGACAACAGATGTTATAGTTAAGGTTTAATAAGTGTTATACAGCACTTGCAACACAATAAGGTCGTAGAAGTGCCGAAGAATAGATGTGTTACAAAAAAGAAGAAGGAGAGATAAGGACAATAGATGTTTGATAGGAAAGAAGGAGCAAATCACAGCAGAGCCCTGGTCCTTTCAGTCATATCATTATCCTCCATGTCCCTGTCATACTTCTAGAGAGGTTCGATACGAACGTAAAATCAGGGAAAATTCCGTCACACACAGCACATCATTTCAGAGAAATCGAAATGCCCCTGCCCCTCTCCCTTCCACTCCCCTCCGTTTCCCTCATTATAATATACCCCCTCCCCCTTTCCTCCCACCCCAAGCCAATTTCCCTCATTATATACATACTCCCACCCCCCACTCCCCCAAAAAAGAAAAAAACAAACACTCCTCAACATTTACT